TCCTCAATACCTTCACCGGTGTAGTACAAAACAGCTCTAGGAATCACTCGCTCCCGTATATAATGAGCGATTTCATAATCACTTTGCAATAGTTGTTCAACATCTTCCTCTTCATCAGAATTACAGTCTTCGCCAGGTTTAGGAGGATTGAAGAAATTGAAAAATGAATCATTTGGAACTTGTTTTGTGATAGTACGCATAGAATCTCTCGACTTATGTTTCTGTTTCTTCCTTACAATTTTCATTGTTAGATTTTTACCTTTGTACCAATCTATCTTGCAACCAGTGCAGCTAGTGATTTCAGGGCCTTCAAATGAGAAAGGATCATCTTCTTTAGGTTCACAACTCATTATATACTCTTTCGTTAACACTGAGTTTGAGAAATATTCGTTAGGTCCGAAATGAAATTCTAAAACAAAGCCCATAGGATCTTTTAAGTAAATGACTTTAACATCGAGCAAATGTCGAAGGGCAGGCTCGTCATGCTCTTGAACCATCTCATTTAACAAAAACACGTTACGGAAAATTTGCAGCCAGAAGTCAGGAATGCCGGAGGTATCAGGTGATAGATTTGTGGCAGTAGCTATTTTCTTGCTTGCACTTTCATATATTTTCATTTCACTAAGTTTATCCGAAATATCATTAACATCACCTAAGTTAAAATCGCTTTCTTCTTCGGTCGGTTCGTGCATGCCATTAACAATTTCTTCTCTTTTAGTATATAAATTAAGATGCCGCGAATGATACTCAAATTCCAGCTCATGTACCTTTGCATAAAACTCGGCTTCAAGCTTAATTCCCTCTAATTGAAGCTTTTTTAAAGCCTTCAATCTGTTCTTAACCGTGTCTGGAAAGTCTGCTATCATTTTATTTAAAATTTGTTGGCGAATTGCTAAAGGTACATACCCGGGGTATTCCAACATGTCGCAGTCGATGGCTTCTGGATCATCGCTCATGTTTAATAGTTTCTTGATAATTTGTTGGAATCACTTAACACTGCACAACCACCGGTGATGTATCAATTCGCAATGCGGCTTTAGCTTACTCTTTTAGCGCCATGAGGTATTGCGTTACAGAAGCTCCACAAAAGCGTTTCGAGTTGTCATGTTGCTCAACATGATCAACTTGAGAGGGAATTTAAAAATACTAATTTGAGCAAACCTAAGAAAGAAATTTCTGAGCCAAAAGGTCCATATTCATAATATATATTAGAATTTGATTATATTTATATATTTATTCACAAAAATTTATAATTTTTTTGTTAGAAAATTTTTGTTTGATGAATGTTGACGACTATATAAATTACTAACTTCGCATTGGTAATATCAGATGACAGTTCACGATTGACAGTTATTAACCTAGATCTAATAATAATGGTTATTAATTTTATTGTTTTAATTTATTTTATTTATTTATAATGAATGTACAAAACCTATTGTTAAAGAAACTGATTATCGAATGGTTATTAATTATATTAAAAATTAAGTCTACCAGAAAATAAATTTAGGTTTAGTGGCTGTTATCAAAATAACTGAAGAAATAACTTGTCAACAATTCAAAATGAATGTCTAATAATTCTCAACAGAATATCTCTGTAGCACCAGTTAATAAATGTAATGTGATTCATGAAGTATAATTAATTTCAAAATTCTTACGTGTACTTGAATCAAATCGAATGTGTTACAATTAAACATATTAATTTTCAATATTCATCACATAACACTTTTAGCAAAAATTAATTTCAATTCATGTTCCAAAATTATCTATTGTGCAAATTTTATAGGTGACTTGTGTAATAATATTCGATTTAATATACAACATTAATCAGAATATTGTACGAGTATATGCTCGAAACTGCTTTTAGTATTGTCGCAAAAAACACTTAATTTAAAACATATGATATGAATATTGATACATCAATGATAAATTGCCTAAAATGACTAAATTAATTATAGAACAAATGATAAACAAAAGAATTTTATCACAGAAGCACGAATTATGTAAGTACTATAACTACACAATAATTAGCAATTCTGCAGACTTCAAATTGTTTATATATATTAAAATACTTTATTGTAACAATGTTTGTATTCACAATTACCTCTTGAACTTACAGCATTGGAATCTCGCTATTTTTTATAGTTCAATATTTTATTTTTAATAGTTTTCATAAATTAAAGTTCTGTTTTATTAAGCGTATTTTGTTCTTTATTTTACAATTTATTAAGAACATATATCATGAATACAATTTGTTTATGAATTCAAATTTGTTGAAATATTTACATGATTCAAAGAACAAGTTGATACAAATCAACAAGATATGTAAATATTTAAGTATACATTAATATTCAATAATTTAAGGCAAAATATTTGTGGCATGAATGCATTTATCAACAAAGATAAACAACTAATATGCATCGTATATGCAGAATATGTGACTATGCCGAGAAACATGAGTGGTAATACATAGCATTATATAATTAAAATCAATTGATTAAATTTATAATTTGATATGCAATTCAAAGCTTATTCTAAATAAGAATAATTTTAAATTTTGTTAAGAAAAATACATTTGAAATATTCATGTTGACGAATGAAAGTTTTAATCTAAACATGTATAATAGCCATCCTTAATATCCTATATATTGGAATATATTTATATTGCACAGCAAAAATTTGAGTTAAGTGAGAAATACATCTTGTGATTATAAATATATTGCATAGCAATTTGGTAATACTGTGTTAGATTCAATATTTCAAAAGCTTTATTAAGACTTTAATATTTTACGATTTCTTGCGAGAGTTTGTTTGTTTCTATAAATTGATTAAAAATAGACTCATAATGACTTTCTTCTTTGTGCTTAGGTGTAAAGCGATACATCTTAGCTTTACATTTAACTTACATTGCTAGAATTATTGGCAAATATCCTTAATTATTTTTAGTGGCTTTTTATTTGCAAAGACAAGAAATAAATTATTGTTTTTGTTAAAATTAAAATACTGAATGGCTTATGGTTTCCAGTTATTGTTGATTTATCTTTTTATATATTTTAATGAATTATTTAAGTCACCTTTTTTTGTTTTTTACTTTTTATATTCATTAACTGGCACTAAATATCTATTAATGTAAATTAGAAAACGTTTATAGTATAAAAATAATTAAAAAATTATAAATTTGATGAATATAATCAATGCTATAGAAATAAAAACTTATAACAAACTATAACTATTCTTAATTCATAAAAATCTCGGAATCAACACCTCAAGTTCATTAAATTTCATTACCGTGTGTTCTTAAGGCTTTTTGTATCGCTTCATCCCCAAGTTGCACAAGATATGATTTTGTTTAATACATGTTAGTTTTTAAATAATAAAAATAATTACTACAATTACATATTAAATGTTATTTGAATGTGATGACAACATCAACTAGTTAAATTAAATTTATCTTAAGTCTATATTTCTACGTATGTAGATACAATCATATCTTTGACACGATATTGTTTTTACTTAACATATTAGAAATAGGAAAAACTTACGATAATTTTTTCAAAATAATTTTTTTTATGGAATACTTAATTTTAAAAAATGAAGCTTAATGGGTGAACAATTTGCACGCACATATTATATACATATTAAAGCTAGAACTGCTTTTAAAGGAAATCATGATATAATTTTTTTTTGCTTATAACAATAAACATATTTAAAATTTGAAAAATTACAAACATTTATAGAAATAACAGTTGTATATTATAGAAAGGTAAATTTATACTATTTAAAAAAAGTTTTGAAATATTCATAATATCGGGAAGATATCAGTTACGTTTAATTATAGTATTGAGTACAATTACAATTATTACATATCATACATAACAAAGTTATGCAAAAGAATATTGTAATTATTAACGTTCACAATACAAGAAATGCATAAGTTCTAAACACTGCAATTATATTAATTACATTTATTTAGGTATCTGTACGATAAATACAGTGTTTATTATAAATTTTAACACTATTTTGAAATTATGATTTCAAAATTCTTATCCTACTACATTTCAGTCAAATACTATGCAAAGATCCTAGAAACAAGTATTAAATCAGTGAAATTTTTATCCACATAATTTAATATAATTAAGTCGTTATTTCTTTTACTAATTTGAGGCCCAATGAAATCACTGATCAAGTATGAAGAATTTATTTTGTTCATAAATAAATATATATTTAATTTGCTTATAATTCAAATATACTATCGCAAAATACAACTTTTTATGAATAATACTAAATGCTCCTTAGGACATATTTTATTATGAATTTGAATATCGATATATATGAGCAAACGTGCAGAACAGAAGGAGTGCTCATAGTAAGAAAAATTACTAATTTTTTGCCAAAATTAAGTGGAACAAAGGTTTTTTAAATCCAGTATTACTGCAACTCAACTTATATAATTCTTTCTTGTGATTAGAATTCTATTAGTGATTCAAAATTTTAATAAACATCAATTATTTATTTATAACTATTTCTGAGCACTCCATTTATAAGATACGATTTATTATGAAAATGTGTACACTACAATAACAATATAACTTGCAAATATCTTATATATCTAATAAATAACTTTCAAGTAGTTTAAATTCGTACTATTGGAATTATTCACAAATTGCTCAAATGCTAAAATTACCCATTTTTGAACTTGTGAACATTTGATAAAAACTGATTAATTATCAGCTTCAAATATTTATTTTAATAAAATTATCACTATATATTATTATTAATAAGCTATTAGAATTAGCTCATCAAAATCTTCTTACAACAAAATTCCTAAGATTCGGAATATTCATTACGTTATAGTGCACTTATATTGACTAATGAAATAGTAGTAAAAAAGTTCAAGTATAAAATAATTAGAATAGAATGTAAAAAAAACTAGTATTAACATAGCATATCACGAACATTTAAAAAAATACGCTTTTTGATAGTTTAATAAAAGATTACTGGGCAAATATTTGAAATTTATAGCAAAAACGGTGCAATAATTTGGTCGAGAATCGCAAGCACAAGAAAGAAAAATGAGGCACTTGCATAAATTAATTTTAAGTAGAAAATTTTCAAATATATATAATGAAAAATTATATGAAAAGGAGTAGTATCTCGCTTAACCCAAGGAGCTACCGAGACATATTGATATGGAAAATTCCGATTTTTCAAACCTTTGAATAATTTTTATTTTATTTTTTATAATTGAACCGCTGCTGCTCATAAGCTTATAATATTTTAAACTGTTCAAAATAAGCCAAATTTTCAAGGGCTATACCGCGCCTTTTGGTTCAAACCATATTATTCGAAAGTTTTGATCAAAATCTGGACCCATTTTCATTTCATTAGCTTTATCAAACAGTTTAAAGTATAAGTGTTTTCAAACCTCGTCAATAATATTCAGTTGATAATTCATTATTTTTAATGCAAGTGCCTTAAAACCAAGTATTATTTTTCCTGCGTTCACGAATTTTTTTTTCAATAATTTCTTTACAAAATGCAAGTAAAGTTTCAATGATCCCGAGAATTAGTTTTCAAAATATAAGCTGAATGGAGATATACCATATACTAAAATGTACTATATTATAATTGTAACTTACAATATTTTTTTATTAAATATAATAAGATAATGATCCAATGCAACGGATGTAGTCTATTCTGAATGAATTATATTATCACCAAGCTTCGGTATAACGCACATCACAGTCTTGTAATTCAGGAAGTTTATTTCTTAACTCTTGTAATGTAGTGGCAGTCAATGAAGTACTATTCAGATTCAATGTTCTTAAGTGTTTTAATGCTGAATATAGAAATTGAATTAAATTATAATAGTAAAATTTTAGTTTAATATATAATAATAATAATGAATGATACTGCCCTGAGGCAGGTTCGTGAGATGGGATAAAATCTTACTCGATGCAAGGAAGAATAGTGTTAAGGGGATGTCCATTAATCACTTGAGGTTTTTAAGAAAAGAGGGAATCTCACAAAAAAAATCACGCGGGGGGGGGGGTGGACAGTGGAGTATAGTAAGATATCACGTGCAATTTATTTTTTACCTGATTATTTTTTTAAAACTCCAAACATTTAAAAAAAATCCAAAATTTTACCATTTTTTCTCCTAACTAAAAATACACGTGATGCTTGGTGCGGGACAAGGGGTATTTTTGAATATCACCACGTAACACCAAGGGGGAGGGGGATCCAAAAATCCTTGAAATATCGATCACGTGAGTAATGGACGCCCCCTAAAGGTTTTTCACTGCCATTTCACATCGAAGTGCCCGAAACAGGGGCACTATTTTCAATTGGAAACATATTTTTGATCGATATATTTTCAAGTAAAAATTGGCATGCAACATTTCTGTTGCATGATGCTAGGTTGTCCAGAGCGAGGTTCAACCATTACACCATGTTACCATAATATATATATATATATATATATATATATATATATATATATATATATTAGGGTGGCCCTTAATATGGACATTTTCGAACTTCCTTGCTCCCAGGGGCTCAAATGCTTCCAAATTGATAAAAAAAAATCCTCTATAAGTTTTAGCTCTTAATATTGTCTTTTAGATAGCGCGCAATTCAATCAAAGTTTTGTATGAAAATAGCATGGGAATATTTTCAAAAATGTTTTGTAGATATAACTTAGCGAACAAATGAAAGAGTTTTATGAAAAATTCGACGCTCTACAAAACAAATGATATAAAATCTGTTTTGCAGAGAGAGTCAAATTTTCAATAAAAGATGACACAAATCATCACTTTTAATTCATTTGTCGCTAAGTTATACCTAAAAAAAACATTTTTAGAAGTTTCGAAATTTTTCCGTGCCCTTTCCATACGGAGCTTTGATTGAATTGCGCACTATCTAAAAATTAATGTTAAGAGCTAAAACTTTTAGAGATTTTTTTATAAATTTGGAAGCATTTAAGCTCCTGGGAGCAATAAAATTAAAAAATGTCCATAATAAGGACCACCCTGATATATATATATTTAGTGTTAAAGTAGATAATTTTGATGTTGAGACATTTTGATGTTGAGTAGGTTGTTCTAAGACCATACATCAAATAAAAAGCTAAGATTTATAAATTAATCCTTAATTTTTTATCAAACATTTCGATATAAAGTTTTATGTCATCATCAATGTATGTTAGACATGATGTATAATAAATTAGTACTACCATTTACATACTAACTTGTCCTTAACGAAGGGATTTTTTTTAAAGCTTTGCCTTTTATTCGATGTTTCGTCTAATATATTTAATGTATCTAGATATTCTCAAAATTTGTCCATATTATATATTTAATAAATGTACTTACAAGCCAAAGAAGCGATTCCAGCGTCAGTTACGCGAGTCTCGCAAAGATTGAGCTGTCTTAATTGCGGCAAATTTTCCGCGAGTATCTGCAAGCCGGCATCATCAAATTGCGTCGACCATAAATTCAATTGTCGTAAGGCAGGCAACTATTATAAATATTTAATACAACCGTTAATATGCATTCAGATAATAATAAAAAAATACTGATTATCAAGTAACGACCAACAGAACTCCGTACAAAGGCAATGGTCTTCTTAACTCAAAATTCATTAAATTATAATTATCGATTAAATTCATAAAATTCGTTAAGCAATTAAGGCTACTATTGGACGAATAGTGTCTTGAATATTATAATAATAAATGTAATAAAGGAAGATCTAGCTACCTTAATTATTTGTTCAGCGCAGGCTCCAGTAACTCTAGTGAACGCCAAACACAGACTTCGTAAATCTCCAAAATTTCCATCTGATAAAAGAGCTTCTAAATCTTTATCGGTAGCGCGCGGCGGCAATGCTAATCGGCGTGGTCCTCCAGTACGGCGCTAAAGTTTTAATCAAATTTAATTTGTCATATAATATTACCCCAAAATACACGAATTGTAAATGTTTCATGTTTAAGATTCTAGAAGAGAAACTGTCTACCATAGTTTGTTTTATACCATTTTTTCCAAAAGCGCCCTCCTTTCACAAGCATCAGTATAGACTTCTTTCCCTCGCTGAGTGCTCATCAAAGCGGCAACAACTCGATGCATAACGTCCTCCTCATTATCATTGTTCAATTTCTGATTTGTCTGAAACTCTTCTTTTCCATCTTCTTCAGGCCACCGTTGGCCCAAAAGGTCCCATTCAATCACCAAAGCTAAAACTAGACGCACGGATCCGGCCCATGGCTGACTAGCTAGTCGGAAGCAATCTTCTAAACGTTTAGGTATCAGATGCTGCAGCAAGAAACGCTTGCGCCTGCCGCAGCAGCCAAGCAATGTAGAAAGCTAACGGTAATAGAAAATATTAATAATTAAAATGAGTACCAAGATAAAAAGTATGAGGAAGTCTGACTAAATTTTATCATACCATTAGACACCAGACTTTTCCGCCGTCCGGACACATGTTATATTCTCCCGTCACTGGACAGTAGAGATCTAACCAGCCTTTCTTGGTGGGTCTGACAGGCATTAGCGTTCGATGAACTTCACATTGCCTGCTGGTTGCCAAACGACGCACCGTCGGAGCCATGGCTCGAAGGAAACCAGGCGAAGTCATCGCCTTGGCAGGGAATGGCAGTGGTTGCAACAGAGAGGCAAGGTAGGGCAACCAGGAACTATGGCTAGATCTGTAATAAATTAGACTTCCTAAAGGAGAACCGACGTGAAAAACGTATTTTCATTCCTATTCAGCTTTTTTATTTTAGAATAGAAATCTAAATAGATATGAAATATATAATCAACCTGACGAACTATATAAACAATTAATAGAAAAATTTGTTTTGAATCTTACATGAGTTCTAAAACTGTGGCAAATATTTGGATTTGTGCGTCGATAACTTCCATATTGCTTTCGAGAAGTGATATTTCCTCACAATCTGGTCCTGCAATAAAAATTGCAAATTATATTAGTAATACCTACGATTTATGTAATTTTGTTATATTTTTTTATAAATTTTATACATACCATATTCGATTTCTAAACAAGTTCTATAACTCCCCGTATCTTCCGTACTAACATCTTCTTCTTCATCTACATTACCAATTAAATGCTCCCTCGATTGATCCATTAATCTTTGCGTTCTAAGACCCTGCATTAAGACTTGCTTGGTTTCATTTAATACTTTTGTGGTATTATCAATAAGTGCTTTATTATTTAATACTATATGTTCTAAAATTGTGCTTGGTTTTGTATCTTTGGTCGGACTGTGAGAATTATCTTCGTCTACTTCTAAATCACTTTTAGGCAATGTTTTCGATTCATCTGCATCTTCCGCGTTCAATTGTGAAGAATTGCTCTCGTTCTCTTTACAAGAATCTTGCTCTACGTCTACGATTTCTGCATCAGTCTTTTTTTGATCTTCTGCATCACTTTTGGAATTAAGATTATTTAATGCTTCGTTTTTAATGTTTTGCTGTTCTTCTAAATCAATTAGGTTGACATCGGATGTAGGTATTAGGATCAAGGGTTCTGCTTTGTTGATTTTGTTCAAGTTGTCTACCGTATCACATGATTTTTCGCTTACAGAATCTCCGGAGAAATCAGTTGCTGGCGAGTTTTCAATTTTATGACCGTTGATTTTTACTGGTTCGTGGTCGAGTTCTTCTAAACGTGCCGTTATTCCTGCAAAACAGACGGAGGCCAGATTTGGCAGAACTCTTGGATGAGGACAAGCACTTCCTGGCCCGTGAACACTGAAAATAGAAGATATCACAAAATTATAATTTTTGCGTTGAAGATAGTGAAAAAAATATTAGTTTTAATATTTTTATGACTTTTTTATGTTGATATGAAACAAATCTTCTAAGGCAAAATATCGTATTATAGTCCAGTCATTTAAGCTTAAATTAAGTAAGAATATCAGAATTCGAGATACCCAGCTGTAAGTCTGTAAATACTTGTATATTGACATCCTAAAGTTGTCTCAAAACCTACATGTGGTAGGGTGCCAATAACATATGTAGGTTTTGAGACAACTTTAGGGTGTCAATATACAAGTATTTACAGACTTACAGCTCGGCATCTTCAATTCCGACGTGAACTTACTATCATGACTGGACTATTACAGCCAATAACACGTGTGTGAATCTGTGAGTAAGAATAAGTAAAAATATGATGTCATTTATACCTTTCAACAAAAGCAGCTAATCGTTCCCGACCTCCAACACCTCCTGTTAAATTAAAACAAATTAAATATGGTAGCAATTAGGGTTTATACAAAAACCGACATTTCAGAAAACCGGTTTTCGAATTTTAATTTTACTAAAAAAACGGTTTTAACCGGTTTTCGAATTTTATATAGAAAATAAATTTTTGCTCGAATATTCTGTAATTTATCCGCAAATTTAGTGTTATTTAGAGCAGTATTTGACTGAATTATTTATTGTTCAATTTTATGGATAGTAAGCAAAATTATTTTCATTTTAATTAGTAGAACAAAAAAATAATAGTTTATCTTGATTTAATAACTTTGAAAATAATTATTCGTTATTCATGCATCGTTTTCACATATAAGAATAAAAATATTTTTATGATAGTAAAAGGAAAGTTTTCGAACAAATAAAAATATTACATTTTTAAATGAAAAACATTTCTTAAATTAATATTAGATACATGTTGATACATACTTGTTCATATCAATTTTAGTTTTGAAAACAATTAAGCTAAACTCGGGTAATGTCTATTCCGAGCAATTTTAATTAATTAATTTTAAACATTCGAATTGTTTTTTTGTTTAATAAAATATGATTTAAAAAAACTGAGAACGTCTATCGAATTGCTACTTAGACATGTCCTTTGTTTACTCACAAAATTTTCTGAAATACAGAATACTCTCATACTTGCGACCAAATTATGCTTAATTGTTTTTAAAGCCTGATATAATCTAAGTTTTTTGTTCTTTAATTTGTGGCTTCTAGGGTTTAAAACTCTTTTTTTCAAGTTTGAGTAGATGAAGTTACTTCTTCAAGAATGAGTCACATTGATTTAAATTAATATAATATATACATTGGTATAAAAATCTAAATTAATATATACAAAACCTTTATAGACTGATAAGATATCAAATGCTTTATTGAACCGATATGATTTCAAGAATCAAAACGCTTTCATCTATCTTTTATATTTGGCAATATTTGTCATTTTCCATTTATACAGTGAAAACCGACTTTTTTCACCAGAAAACCGGTTTCGAATTCCATAATTTTTGGAAAAAAAAAACGGTTTTTAAAACCGGTTTTTTAAAACCGACAAACCCTAGTAGCAATGCATTCTTATTGGTATGTCTGAGAAAATAGCAAAGAAAACAAATGATGCTTTCAGATTACGCTTTTAGACTAAATTCTACTATGGAATTAAAACTTATTAATTTAAGATAATAATTAGGATTATCTCCTTACCTCCTATGGCTGCAAGATAATCTCGAACTAAATCTCTCGCATGCGGTGACGTCGAATAATCAGCTCCGTGTTTCAGTATCCTCCTCACCAATCGATCCACAGCGGAAAATGATAGAGAATCGTTACTTGATTCTGTAATAAATACAAAATTTCATTTGTCCATCCTGAATATCATCAAAATTTCACCAGAATCTCAAATAAATAAGCCTGCAAAATTCCCTTTGTTTTCCTTAATCATGTTCAACGCCTTACACCAGCAGCACCATAACGTTCAAAAAAGTGTAATAATTAGTTTGCGTAAATTGTATGTTATTATAAATAATTGTATCTGGTTTACATATATTATAGTCTATGATGAAATTTGCAATAGAAGAGTATATTTACCGCTATCGGAACTGATTTCATCGTATGGGTGAAGACAATACTTGGCGACATGTCGGCACAATGGCGCACTCGCCGGAGCGTCTTCTAATAAAGGTGCGGATGTTCGCAATAACGAAGCACGGCTGCATATGTGATCAGGCTGAAATAAAGGTAACATTTATTAAAAACAGAAATTGTTTCATTTCAACTTGTTTTTGTCATATAGTAATTTTAAAATTTTTTCATAAAGACTACCAAAATAACAAACTTGGTTATTTCGCTGGTTTTGATTATAACGTAATATGAAATTTCAAAAATTCTAACTCTACAAATATATAAAAAACTAGTGGTGTATGGCATCGTGCCTTGAGTCAAATTGCTGGAACTTACCGTACCATAATTTTTTTTTTAACTTTGCAAAAATTAAATTTTTAAGGAATTTAGAATTTTTGAAAATAAAGACTGAAAAAAAATTTTGAAATATTTTGGAAATTTTAGACTTTTTTTAACTTCCCGTAGGGTAAGTTATTGTAATCGTACAAAAATCGAAATTGAAATTTTTTGCATTTTTTCACGTTTTGTAGATTGATGAACATTTTGGCATAACTCACAAAAAATGGATGTGTGTATGTGCGTATGTGTGTAACTCACAAAAAATGTATGTATAGATACAAATTTTCGTCCACCTTTTCGCACGCACGGATCAACCGATTCCAATGGTTCCAAACATTCGATTTCTATTGATAGAGAGATGTTCTGATTAGTTTTTGGCAAAGGCAGGTCCAGCGGCTTATGAGATATGGAGCAAAAAGTGCTAAAAATGTCAGTTTTTAAGAGAACAGATCAATGAATTTGAATGATCCAAAAAACATCCGATTCGTGATAATGCAGAGAAGTGGTGATTAGATTTTGGCAAAGGCAGGTGCAGCCGTTTCGGAGATACTAAATGTGCAAAAAATGTCAGTTTTGAGAGAGCTAAGCATCCGATTTGAATTATTTAAAAAAACTTTCTACTTGTGTTGACGAAACGATTGCTTTTGGGGATTTTTTTTTTTAATTTTCAAAAAAATGTATCTTTCTATCTATTTCGAAACATTTAATATTTTTTAAATATTTCATTAAGGTACGGGATGTTCCAGCAATTTGTCTTAAGGCACGATGCCATACAACACTAGTTTATATCTATAATCTAAGTTTAAAGATATTTGTACTGGAAATTGCGCAAAACTTCTAAAATTGAATTAGTTATCATTATTGAAAACTGCTTAATCGATTGCTAAATGGTTCTCAAAGATTTGAATTTATATTTTACATGATCAAATCTCATTTTGGTGAATACTTTCAAATATTTCTGATTTACAAAAATGATTACTAATGAATATATGTTTTTTGAATAATTCAAATCGTTCGATCCGTGCTTCCAAGATCGCGAATGAAAAATTGGATCCGCACAAACATACGCACACGCACACACACGCACACACACGCTAACATACATTCATATTTTCTAAGGCATGCCAAATTGTTTAGAAACCTCTGAAACGTAAACATAAGCAAAAATTATCAATTTTTTCATTTTTTGCGATTACTATAACTTATACGGGTAATTAAAATTAGATCTTTATAAATTTAACTGCATATCATGTATGCATTATATTTTTTAGTAGAGATTTATAAATATTTCTTTTACAATATTTTCTGGTATCTTATACATTCTGAAATATGGATCAATAAAATTCACATTTGTATCATCAGGTTGTAAAACTTTCATTTTAATCGATTGCGAAATTTGAAAAATAAGCTTTGTTATGTTATTTAATTTAAAGCTTATTTTCAATATTTATCAATTCATGGCCCCGATTGCATGGCAAATGTGGAAATGAGTATACTTTATAAATGCAAACTGATTTGAACAAAAATTAGCAAGTTTTTTTGGTTTCATAAATTTCTTTTTAAACAAACAATTTAAATAATATTCATGAAATCGAATCTGTCATCCAGACAAAACGACAACAAAAATCCCCATTTTTTATCACAAACCTATTTTGATGATTTCTATTTAATATCTTCGACATTAACTGAAAATAGATAAATAGAAACGACCCAGTAAGTCAAAAAAATTTCCTCCCAACCAATTCTATAACATTGTAGACAAAAAAAAGAAGGTTGACCAAAATGATAAAATTATATTAGATGCACTCTAGTCATGTCCCGAAGACTATTTTCTCTCTTATCATATTTTAGAACTGTAATTTCAAGTAAAATGCTGATAACACTACTGCTTGATATCAAGCCGGCCAGGAAGAATGTCTATCCCGGGTTGCTAGACCAATTCTTTAAGATTCATTTCTTAAATTATGACTAATAATTACTAAATCTATATTATTACCTGGTCCAAAAGTTCCGAAACTATCGCAATCGGTTCATTCATAATGCAGTCATCTTGTAACGGTGTGGTAGCAGCGAAATCCACCAGACACTGATAAAATGAATCAATATTTACAGTTGATAAATGTCGATATATAATAGATAATGATTATGTCATATCGAATAATTTCATAAGTGTTTGTATTGAGTATGTAAATGAATTTATATTTCTACATTTAGAAATTCATATTTATTTTTACCTTTAATTCTTTTAGTATGATCTCAGGTGAACGGGATTGTGATAACACGCTTTTGTATTTGTGCAGGTTTTTCTGTAATAAGAAATCGAAAATAAATAGAATCTAATATAAGTGATTATAACTCTTGATAGTCTTTATGACAAAGAAAATAGTAATAAAAATTTAATAATTAATTGATATTTACCTTCCAAACAATCGAGTGAAACCATTGATCGCGAACATAGCTACTAGCTGCCTGCAAAGGGAAGAAAATAATATACTAAAAAAAATAATAATTGAATGAAATTGCGTTGATTTCTATTTATTTATAACTATTGTGCGTTTTCAATTCCTGAGCAAATCATAAAAAAATTCTAAATTAAAATTAAATCGAGGTACTTTTGATTATTTTTGTTCAAAGTACTTAATATTGTATCAATAAAGAACACTGAAATCATGGTTGTCCAGATATGTAATTTATTTGTTGTGGAATTTTTAAACAATCAATTGATTATATAAATCATAAATAAATAACTTGTTCTATATTCTTTGACCATTTTATTTATTTTCATTAAATTTACTGAGGAATCCAGAACGTACGCAATTTGAAACAATTGAGGCAGTCAGTATTGACTTTTATAAATATCTTATTGATCTCAATTAATATGGCACATTCAACTAATAAGAAGTTTCCATTTAAGTTAAATTCACAATTAGATGTTTGTAGATGGGAAACGTGTACATCAATCAGTTTATAGAAAACGTGAATAGAGTGCCAATTCATATTTTTCATTAAGAAATGTGTTGTCGATATATTATTTTCATATCTCAATCAGGGGGCTGCCTGATATAAGAGATTATGAAACAAATTTAATATTTTATATATACATATCATTTGTGTCTAAATTTGTTACCAGTATCATTTTTTTATTTTAACCAACTACTTTTTGACTTAAAAACTGCATAACTAAAATTGCACTAGGATTATTACAAATTAGCACTTTTTTTTCAGAAATATTGTGGGCTACTCAGGCGCTAATTTAAATAACAAATGAGAAGATGTTTTTCTAAAATGCATATTGATCTATAGTGTATATATTTGTGATATAATGAGGATAATATGTAGCAAATTGATAATTACGAATGAAAAAATGTCAACCCTATTAGATAAATTCTAATAATAAAATCAACAAATATGGGATAACCATTGGGTTACCATCTAAAAGCACGATGTAAGGAGAAGTTTCAGCCAAACAGTGGCCAAACAGTTGTTAAAATTAATTTTTTTTATTTGTCCCATAAGTAAGTAAATAAATTAAGAAATGAGTATTTCAAACAATGGTATAAAATATGTAATTTTAGAGTCTGGTTGAAGAATAAGATGTTCAATTCAATGACGTTTTGATTAAATATTCTTGTTTCTATATTATGACCTGATATGTTCATCATGACAGTAAATGCAAATGCAATTTAAGGAAATCTGTTCACACACACGCGCACACACACACACATACTTTTTCCAAATTTGGTCTCATTCGATTCAGAATGGCTCGAAACCTCGAGAAAACATAAAATTAGCGAGTCGGATTTTTTGATGAAAACATAAACTTCTCCCTCGGGAAGTTAATAATATATCAATAATTTAGTGGTATTACTTTTAGAAAAACCCGGGACACAAGGTGGAATCTGGGACAGTTCCGCCCGAAACAAGGACTTATGGCCATTTTAGGTTTAAACATTAGGAAAAGGTTGCCCTTTGATATTATTGCAATTTATTTCCCAATAATGTTTGAAAAAAAATATTACAGGAACCTAATTAATAATTGTCGCTTGAACCATTCGTTTCAGAAAAAGGTGTTTCTATGTGACTTTATCCTTAGATAAACAAGCATAAACTATTTATCCTTAACGTAGCCTTGAAATGAACTTTTTATTTGTTTAAAGTGAAATTTACACAGTGAATGGTAGTGTTCCAAGTATATATACATTATCTCACTTGTAATAATACTGATCCTTCGGGAACTACAATCCGCAAACAATATCGTCCTGTTGCATCCCATCTGTTGACTGTGTACACATCTTGCATCGATGCATAAGTCAGAGGTTTTTGCAATAACCCAGAACCCTGAAAAAAATTAAAATATGTATAACAATCAGAGAATATAACTAGAAAAAATATTCATTAAGTTGTTCAGAAAAAATTTACTTCTCCGACGTGATTACTTAAGACAAAATCCCACTTATACCTAGTTCATTTTATTTTTTAAATAGCGTAGTACCAGTGTATGTATTTTTTTTTCTTTTTTTTATTGACATAGTATTTTTAAATCTATGTCAGACAGGGTTTAATTTAAAAAAATAACAGTAAAACAGTACAAGAAGCTGTATCCATTATTACTATAAAAACAAATGGCCCTAAGAAAATAATAGACTTTTTTACTCAGTTATAATAGCCATTGTTAAAATGCGCGTTATTTGTCCCTGTAAAAGCCATAAAAATTAACGGCTTTAATATAGCATGTAGTTATTAATAAAACTGCGTATAAAAGTAACAAAACATGCAAATTAACACCTATAACATGACTTAACTACACTTGGAAACATCTTTATAAATTTTTATTGCCTACAAGATATGACTAAATGGGCAAAACAATAACAACTTAAATATTTAGGTCATGTTCAAGCAGTCAATACCGACGAGAGTTCAAATGTCAATACATAAGCAAAAATGATTCCATAAATGTGTTGAAATGTAATTAATAATGCTAATTAAAAAAATTAGCAATTAATTGCAAAGTACTGTACAAATCATATTTCAACATTACGTTATTAATTTCTTATTAATGGGAATCTCATATTGCAGCTTTGTATTTAGAAACAGAACATTTCTGTCCAGTCAATTCCTTTGTGTCATTGTTGAACTTGTATGAATCCTCCTTTCCCAAATTTCAAAAATAAAATGATTTTTGGGAATCAAATTTTATTAATTTGAAACTTGAATAAACTTTTGCAAAATATAGATTATTAAAAAATTAAAGAAATATAAGTAATAACAAGGATTTGAATAATGATAATATTATTTTATCAATAATTAAATAATGAATAAATTTTAAATAAATTCTAATGAATTGTTGTTAAAAAAAATTACTAAAAACTGTAATTTTCGCTATAAATTGAAGTTGTGTATAATTATTTTAGCACATGTTCGAAATTGATTTAGAATATCATGTGGTCTACGTCAATACTATTCAGCTTATCAATGAAATCTATACACGTTAACATTGAATGAATCGATTTAGTAAAATTCATATATAGATTTCGAAAACTATTAATATATCTAGATATTCTAATATTAATTGATGCTCATTTAAATGCAATAAAGTCAACCTTATACCTTAAACCACACACAAGTATCAATTTTACTCAAAGTATTGATATTGTACAAAGTTTAAATTTGTAATATATTTATTAGGGCGGGTCAATTTAAAGGTGACTAAGACACATGATTTTCGAATTCAAGAGATCAAAATAAGATACTTTGCTGAAAAAACTATACCTCTAAAATAAGGGTTAATTTTTGAAAAACCCTCTCAGGGAGGGGTCTCATGAGTTAAACTAGGGACATGGGTAGATCAGCCTTCCAAAGTTAGTGGGGATTTGTTATACATTTGGAGGCAATTGGGGCACTCTTAATGGGTAAAAAGAAAATTTTTGAAATTTCAACCCTTATTTTTCGGTCAACGCATCAGGATTTATTTTAGAAATGTGGTTTCTTCAGCAAAGTATCTTATTTTGATTTCTGGTATCCAAAAATTATGCACCTAAGCGACTTTTTTGACCCATACTAATCGACCCGCTCTAATATTTATATAATTTGACTTCAGATTATTTTCATCTCAAAGACATTTTAAAAATGGTAATAATATTTCTCAAAATTTACCAAATTTAAATAAATATAAACATATTATATAAATTTAAACAATTAAGGCTGTATTGTTGTTTTTGCAAAGAGGACTTAGTAAATTCTTGATACTGATTGATTGGCATGAGTTGGAACAAAATATCACAAAAAACGATAATATATTATGATTATTGAAGTATATATTAAAAATATTACAAATTAGGGTGTCATAACAAAAGCAAATACATGTATTTTTATAGTCATTATTTTTTGATTTATTGAAAGTTCGAGAGCCTTGAAATTAGAAGTTTCTAGTTGAAATCATGGGTCACGTACAACATCGTATTAAGAAGTACTGTTATCCATTTGAACTTGTTAATACACCAGTTTTTTTATAATTTTTTTCTAACAGAAATCATAACTGAAGAGTCCTAATCAGTACTACAGATGACAACCCAAACAGATGTCCTGTTGTATAATTGAATGTTTCTCCATATATTTTCTTTCTATTTATTTGCACAGTTTCTCTAATAGTTCAAATATTTATTGATGCAACAATACCTGATCAGGGCTATTTTTTACATATTGCTATCTATATTTCCAAGTGAAAACCGTTGTCACTTCTACTTGAAAACAGGCTGCCCGACGCAGGATCGAACCCGATACCTCTGATCTAGGTCTAGTCGTCTTAGCCACTTACCTAAGAGCAAGCCTAATATACAAGTTAAGATGGGTATAGAAAATATCCTTTCTGGTTTTGTTAAAAGAAATGACAAAACTACTGTTTGAAGAATGTATGCAAGTAATTACTTGCTAAAATAACATTGGGTTGCCTTCCAATAGCATCTGCAAAATCTAACAAAATTACTAAATGTCTTCATGACAATAGACAGATTGTGATTCATATAGAAATAAAAAAGTCTTCTAAATATAAATTTATCTCCTTGCGTAAGTTAATCACCTTACCCCGTACTAAAATCAAAGTCGTATTCGTTTTCAATAAATTTTAAATCCGTTCGTTTAATACGAAAACGTAATTAGAAACACACGGCTAGATCTGTTCTATTCGGTCGTAACATTAATTCGAATTGAACAAAAAAAACACGAATACCTGTTGTCGGCCGCCGAATGCATCATTGATAGTGCTGCTGAAATGTGCGTCACTAATCGCAATTAAAGAGAATAAAAACAATTCGGTACTTTCGGAATCTATCCGGCGTTAACCTATTAACCTAAATTGGTCCAAAGACTTGGAACAGTGGCACAGTGGAAACTTACCATAGGAAAGATGATCGAGATGGGTTTTATACGTGTGATCTTCGGATGAGTATTATTTTTTTGTGATATCTGTATCTGTATCCGAAAATCGAAAATTGGAAGATGTGGATCATTTCAAATATTTAGGAAGCATCCTGACCAGAGAGGGATACTGCACGAGAGATATCAGATTTAGGACAAGGCAGCGTTCACAAAGTAGAGAACTAAATAAAGTGCAATTAAATAAACTAAATTAAGAGACTAATGAATGTCTGGAGCATAGCTCCGTACCGATCAGAGACATGGGCTCTAATAAAGATCGATAAGAACTATCTGGAGAGTTTTGAAAGAAAACTTCATAAATTGAATAGTGGAGTGACACCACAATTGTTTTTGTGGCAGCAAAACTAACACATGACTAAAATTATATTAATTTTGTTGTTTTTTTCATTCAAGCTTGTGGTGCATGCCATCGTTTTCCTCATTCACCAGGAAAACAATTAAAACTAGTTGTGTATGGCATCGTGCCTTAAGGCAAATTGCTGGAACTTCCCGTGCCGTAACAAAATGTTCAAGAAATATTAAATATTTTTATATAGATTAATATAAATACTGTAAAATTGTCTAATATTTATAAAAGTTATATAAACTGAATTACAAAGTTAATATTATTTATTTAAAATATATTGGTGAGTTTTAGAACATAGCCAGAATTAAGAATTTTTTTAAGAAAAAAAGAAATAGGAAAAAAAATTGAAATAATTTTTTCTTCCAAAAGCAATTATTTTGTCAAAACAAGCAGAAAGTTTTTGAATCATTCAAATTGGATGCTTAGTTTTCTCTTAAAAACTGCCATTTTTTGCACATTTAGCTCGGTATCTCCGAAACGGCTAGACCTGCACTTGCCATAATCTAATCGAAAAATTATATCCATACATACATACACACACATCCATTTTTTCTGAGGTATGCCAAAATGTTCAGGAACCTTCAAAACGTGAAAAAATGAAAAATCTTTAATTTCGATTTTTGGGCGATTATAAATATAAATTTAAATATAAATTTTATGAGTACATTTTTGACAGAGATAACACTGTATATAACCTTGATCTGGTTGTTCGCCAAAAATGATCATCAACATAGTTGGAATAACTATAGTTATTTTACCTATCTTTTGCAAAATTGCTTTTGTTACTTTTTTTATTGGCTAATATTTATTGTTTACACCTGTGCCAGGGTAAAGGTTCAGTTGTTCCTTTTTACCCCATCCACATGTAAGATTTTATAGAAATTATATAAAAGAATCTATTTTAAAAATAATAAATCTTATAGAACGACACAATAGTACATCTTTAGAGCAATTCTCGTTAACTAAACAACAGTGCTCACAATCAAAAAAGCTTACAAGGAGAGAAGACACCTTTGTTATGGATTTACAAACATTGCCCATTTCTTAAGTCGCGAGAATCAAGATAATGGGTGGCTGTAGACCTTTTTCCCTCTACTTTCAAATATTGTTGTCGAAAAATTCTGATCTTTACTTGTTTTTAGGATATCGGTAGTGGACCTTTTTACCCTCGAACTTTTATTTTAAGCCCCGATGTACCCTATATAATTTCCAGTAGGAGATCTTATGAGTTCAGATTTTATTATGAATGATATAAATTTATGACAGAGCACATAATAATCAATATAATTAAATATTGTTTTTAATATTTTTATCATAAACTACTTAACAATGACATGTAATATTTATACATGTCACCTACAATAATGTAAATATATAGAATATTATTGTACTATGATAATTAAATAAAATATGTATTAAAGTAGGTAATTATCATTATTAAAATTAATTGTTAAGCATTTATGCACATAATTATTAAGCTATTAATCACTCATTCAATACAATCACTCATTATGCAGCAAGATTATAGTATTTTTTTAAAGTGAACTGCTTCAACAAT